CGCTTAGTTGGGCAAGCGAATAATGCTCGGCGGCGCCACAACGTGTTTGCAAACCTGGCAATTTAGACGCCGACGACTCTGCAATCCTGCCCGAGAGCAGATCCTGGGTTCCACGACTTGTTTCTATCGTCACATCGTGCACCTGTCAACTCAGTCCGGCTGCTACTTAAGGTGACCTCGGTATGAAGTCCGCAGCCTCGTCTTTAATCCACATCGTACCGCAAGCGGTAGTTGAGACCACCACGTGCACGAGAGGGACATGCAAGCTTTCCAATTCAGTCCCCTTGATAGGCTATTACAGTTCTGATTGTGGACAAACCAAACGGTGTACAGGGTATTGGACCAGCTAAACGTCACGGAGGACGATAGGAGAATGAACGCTATATAGCATCTCCCCCCCGACATCGCTGAGCGGTCTGGTGATGGATGGGGCTCGAGTGTTCCATTAGCGACGAAAACAGCCACCATGCGGTCGCCCTCCAGCTTGTATTCTGTGCTTACCGCTGGCTTCCTAGTAAGCGGCGTGTACGCAGATTCTCTGGCCAGCATCAATCATGTTGTTCTATTCATGCAGGAGAATCGAGCCTTCGATCATGTACGGGAAAAGGCACAGGTTGACAAGAGTTGTGCTAATACTACAGCAGTACTTTGGCACCATGGCTGGTGTTCGAGGCTTCTCCGATCCCAACGTCCAGATCAACCCCGACGGCAAGTCTGTGTTTTATCAGTAAGTAAATTGGTGTCTGTGACGATGGGCTTTATCTGAGAGGTCTAGGAAATTGAACAAAACCCTGTCCACAAAGTCTGACTACCTACTCCCATTCTACCTGAACGAATTGGGTGGCCACTGGTTAAACGCTACCCAATGCATGGACGCAGGATCCAATGGGTATGAGGAGAACCACTTAGCCTACAATTTCGGTCTCAACGATCATTGGGCCCTCAATGTGAGTTTGATATCCTGAGACTGCGGCTGGACAATACTTCCATTCATCTGTTCCCGTTATTGGTTCCTCCTACTGACATTTATCTCCTCAACACTAGAACACGCCGTGGAGCTGGGGATACTACAAGAAGAGTGATCTTCCTGTTCAATTTGCCCTCGCTGAAGGGTGGACAATTGGTGACATGTACCAAGAAAGCGTGATAGCTTCAACCAACCCGAATCGTGTGACCTGGGTGAGTGGATCCATCGCGGTTCCCGGATCGCCGCAAACGGCCAACGAAGGCGGTGTGTACATCGACAACAATGAGGTGCCCGGCTGTGAAGCGCCGGGACTGAACTGCTATCCGCTGTCTTGGACCACCACGCCCGAGATTTACCAGAAAGCTGGTGTCACCTGGCAAGTTTATCAGGATCTCGATAACTTCGATGACAATCCCCTTGCTTGGTTCAAACAATATCAAACTGCGAAGAACGGCACGGCCCTCCACAAGCGCGGAATGTCCTACGTTGGTCTAGATGCTTTCTACGAACAGGCTGCGAATGGCACTCTGCCCATGATTTCCTACATTATCGGTCCCACTGAACTCTCGGAGCACCCGCCTTACTCCCCTCACGACGGTGCATGGCTCCAACAGCAAGTGGTCAACGCCGTCACACAGGGTAAGAATTGGAACAGCACCGCTTTGATCATTAGCTATGATGAGACTGGCGGTTGGGGAGACCACGTCCTTCCTTACCACGCACCCAATGGAACGGCAGGTGAATGGTTCGAAGACCCGTACGATATGTTCGGCTACACTTTTTCAGGACCTGGCTTCCGTCTTCCTTTCTATATCATCTCACCCTGGACACGCGGCGGGAACGTCTTCACTGAGAAATGCGACCACAACTCCCAGATCATGTTCCTGGAAAAATGGCTGGCGGCCAAGGGCTATAACAACGTAGTAACAAACCAAATGCCCGCCTGGCGGCGGGCCCATATGTCCGACTTGACGGCGGCATTCGATTTCACCAACCCGAACACGTCGATCCCCGCGATCCCCCTGGCAAAGGTCCCACACAAGGACAGTAAGGGAGTTTGGGACGGCTCATCATACTGCGAGTCGCAGTATGCCGTCCAGCGACCCCCTGTGCCTTACGGCAACCAAACCGAAGAAACCTCTCTGGTATCTGAAAAGGGGTTTAAATCAGTGCGCGGCTATCTGACAGAGGGCCGGTATCTCACCTTCGAATCATCGGGCTATGCACTTTCCAACCCCGGCGGCCAAGCTACGCAATTCACCGCAACAAAAGCAACGGCGTCTCATTCCGCACCAGCTCAACGCTGGGTAATCCACGAGACAGCCACGGATAGCAGACTGTACACAATCAGCAGCGCAGTGGATGGGCGGTACATGGGCGCGAACATGGAGTTGGTGAACAAGACCATGGCTGCGGTGCACAGTATTCCTTACCTTGGCGGTGGACACGGATACAACTTGATAAATAACCATGGGGAGTACTTGACGATTAACGCCATGGGCAAGCCAGCGGTGGGCTCATCTGGGGCGTCCTTTTTAATTTATAGCGTCACTTAGCCAGCTAGAGGCAGAGGTCCAGTAAACATGGTGGCGGTGCAGGTCCTAGCCGATGAATTAGCTAAACTGCTGTCAAAAGTCATCCGAGATCATCTGAGCTAGCAGGGTTATTCGCAATGTAAAATCAGGTTAGGGTACGAAGCAGAGTGAAAAGGAGTGCTTTTGTGGACTTGCGAAGGTCGGGGCCTCGTGAGGCCCTGTGAGGCTGAGCGAACTACTCTACGCGAAGTAGTGGCCGTTGCTTTGGCGGGCATGTCCTTCTTCCCGACCACCCACCACTTCATTAGGCCTTCCCCTTGCGACCCTCAGAAACTGTGAAGCCGGCACGCTGGCTCTAGCACCCTCGCCGCTCAGAGCCGCGTGGGGGCACACTATCCTCACATGTCTATTTGCTGTAGTTCAAAGCTTGACTCATTGTCCCGCCCATGGTTACGGGTTCAAAAGTTTGAGCACCAACTAGGTAATTAATGAGGAACCGGACGAGGGGCTTCTAACATTCCGAATGCTGGGTTTGTCTGTCAGGCAAATTTCTCGGGGACATGGTAAAAAAAATAGAGGTGGAGGACTGTAATTAAGCAATCGGCTGGCTGCTCCCGAAAGCTTGTTTTGTTGCTTGAGTCCTCAGCACCAGCTTCGTCCACCACCGGAACGCAACGCTGAAAGGGACAGCATCAACATTTCCTTCCTCGATTTCCCAAGTGTTGCCTTCTACCGAATTCAGGTTGAGTGTGATGCCATGTCACTATCTACCATAGATTGGCCAGCAGATATGCAACTGCGAGGACAGCGGCGCTGGTGTTTGTGCTGCAGATGGCGACGCTGAAGCACTGCTCATAAGACCAGCCGCGGCGGGTGCAGTCGCTGCGGTGATTAGTTGGCCATTGCTGTACGTGGTCTGTTATACGAGATCAGTCCCAGGATTCATCCGCCCGTTCGAAAAAGCCGACTCACGCCGCATATTGAAAAAAAAGCTATATCGGTCAACACCGAACTGCGTTCGAAACAGCTGACCAAAACATCGTACAAGCACACCGAGGCAAGTGAATGAAGGTCGCTTGAACAGGCACAGCTCAAGAATGAGGATGCTGTGGCTGAGGGATCAAGGTCAAAGCATGCCGACTCTGCTGCCGACCATATCGCGCAGGACGTGGTATAGTATGAACAAAATCCATTTGTATCCGGAACTGGAACTGTCATGGTTGGGTTGCTAAGGACAGGAGTGGTGGGCGTGAGGGTGATATAATTATCGCGCCAATCATGCCAATTAATTAGCAAAGTACTGGCATAGTAGTCGAATTGGTCGTTGTGGTAGCAGAGACGGAATTCGCTTTCGCAACTTTGTGGCTTCCTCAGTCCACCTTCTGAGTCAAGAATGAACGTTCACCGACTCCACGATCTTATTGAGAACGGCCTGCTTACAGAAACACTTCTCAATAGCGGCTGTGGCCTTTGGGTCGGTGAAACATGAGCTTTCTGTCGCTGCAAGTTCGTCGCACGCTGTCAACGATGTGATACCAGCCTGCGTTTGACAGCCGTAAGGACCGACTTCCTGACCTCGGACAATAGCAATAGTGGAGGCGACAATGATTGTGGTTGCATGGATGAAGATCATGATGAGACGCTTTGATTCAAGGGGCAACTTATGAGGGACCGTACAGTTTTCGAGGAAGCAGGAAGGCTGGGGGAAATGGATCTCTGGGAGGGATATCGGCGTTCTTGTGCTCAGGAATCACTGCCAAAAGCAGCTCCTGCAAGAATGCATCTCTCGATCGGTCGCTGACCAGTTTTGGCAGGGACTGCTGTTCGACACCAGAGACCGTTCACGTCGAGAATAATCCTGCTGCGGTTTGCCGATTTATCCTCGCCGCCAGCGTATCTGCCTAGTGGATGAGCACTAGCCAAGCATTCCCACCCGAGAACAGCAGAGATTGGCCATATCGAGGAAGAAGGCCACCACCACGGCCCTATTTCTTTCTCCACAACCGCTCCAGACTCGAAGCTGAACCTGGAAACATCTGCAAGCCACAGCTCGCTAGACTGTTCCTTAGATTCTTTTTGTTAAATCCGGGAAAGCCTAGCGGTGATGCTTTCCCTTTGCGGCGGAGCTGAACAAAAGACTTGTGTGGCCCCAGAGTCGGGGTGTAGTCTATTTTGTATTTCAGCCTGATGCTAACCTGGACGAATTGGTCGCATTGAATAAGTCGCCAGCAGCTTCCCGAATTTAACAATGCTAAGCGAAATGCTTGAGCACCCGCCTCGACCTCGTACAGAGATCAGTGCTCCACTAGTGGTCGACATTCTCCTGCCTCACTGTGCAAAACTACTGGGTAGAAATTCTGTGAACCTCCTCTTTATCCACCACAAACATCACAGAGGCCTTTCCAGCTCGTCAAATATGGAGAAAAATTCAAAGGTCAAATCTCGTGTTACTGCTCTCACGAGGCCCGACCGCAGGCTGGGCAGCAACCGATCCCAGGATGAAAGTGCGCCAACAGGGGATGGCAAAACAATGTGGAATGACTGAAAGTCGTGGAAGATCAAGCAAACGACATTGCTGCTTTTCTTGACCCTTACAATCTTGCTCATCGGCGGCATCGTCGCCTTGATTGTGGTATGTAGCGTCAACCATGGCCTTGCACCTGTCGAGAATGCCTCCAGAACAGTTGCCGGAGTCGACTGGAGGCTCAGCCTGACATGGAAAACCCTACCGTCGTTTCTCTTCCAGATATATGGAATGTGCGTTGCGGCCATAGTTGATGCATTTGGATTCAGACAGCCATTTACTGAGCTGGCTCGGGATGGAGGAGCCATTGCCAGAAAGAGCATTGCATTGGATTACCAGTCCTTCTTTCCCGGCCAACGAGAGTACGAAGTGTTTCGCAACGGACATTGGCATCTCGGTATTGGTTTCGTAGTGTCGCAGACACTTCGTGTAGCTCTCAGTCCTCTCGCGGCACACATGCTGGTCGAGCAAACCCACAGAAATCATCAAAGCCCGTCATTGTTGCAGGACTCTGCCTTTTCCTCGACGACCAGCCTCAATGGATCGATTGACTGGGATCTTTCGACTATAATAGGAGCTGCATCATCAACGCTGGTATACGGTGGCAGCTATCCAAGGTGGTCCAACGGGCAACACGTTTTCCTCAACTTCTCTTCGCCCAATTTACCTGGCGGCAATATCTCACAGCCAAAAGTCGTGGCCACGACACAACCCTATTTTGCGAAGCTTGAATGTCAAACTGTGTCGGATGTCTGCGATCGCATGATTCGCATCACGGATCCTGACAGTCTTGATGGGAATGGTGGCACATGGTGGCTGAATGGCACCAATCGCGGTTGCTACTGGAGCACGAACCTTCAAATCTCCAATGGCTTCACAACATACTTGCAAACCTCTTTAAAGGTGACTTGCGGGGCACACCGCGACTCACTTTTCAGTGGCCGTATGATCGTTGTCGGTGCTACCAATGTAAACTTCAGCAAGACCGTGCCAACCGTTATCACCTGTATACCAACGTACTGGAACGCGCAGGCACGCATCAGCATGAATCTCGACCAGGACTCCCGAAACTCAATTCTCGGCTTTGAGCTGAATGAGACGAAAGAGCTCCGGCCTCAATTTTGGGATTCTTTTGAGTATGAACTGAACCAAGTCAAGTCAATCGACACAACCCTCACAGGGGGCACATGCGCAGCATCGGCCACTGACTTCGGGAGGGTAGTCCTGGACAATGCTCGCCTCATCAACAATGCGGACGCGATGAAGGAGGAGAGCCTCACGAGCTCTTCACAGCAGGTCTTTGCAACAGTGTACCCGCTTCTGGTAAACGACTTCATGATACGGCCGAACGAGAGATCCGTCGACATTACTGGCAATTTGACCTTCACTACGAATCGACTGTTTGTCTACAACATTTCTGCTTCCATCATTCTTGGATTGTTGGTCTGTGTTGCCATATTGCTCGTTATGATCTGCAGGTATACAGAGGGGCATGATTCAATGCTTCTCGAGGAGCTCATTGGGATCATCGGTTATGCGGGAATATTGGTGGACAGTGTGGTAAACAAGATCGCGACAGCCATCCGTGGCGGAGCAAATTACCAAGGAAAGACCACAGGGGATGCCATGAAAGTCCTCGATACTCGTGATGGGACAGTTCCGTCGTCTTTCGCGACGTATGAGGAGGATCAGGCGGCGACTCGCATTGCACTGCAATCGAGGGTTTCCGAGATTGAATTCATCGAAAAGTATTTCCTGTCAAATGTGGGTGGTAATGCTCAGCGACCACTGGATATCAGTCAACCGCAACCTCGAAATGTCGACTAAGTGCCGCAACCAGAACAAGCTATCGATCGACCACCGCTCCAGGATGGCAACGAGCCAGAACCTCAAACCGTCCATCATCCTGGGCCCCGGGCTGTCCATCAAAGGCAATTGGATGATGCCAATCAAACAGAAGTGCAGGATCACAATCAAACACAGGCGCAATCTGCTCATGAGCGACAATCACAACATCCTGATGAAGTACAGCAGCAGAATCTCCGGTCAAAACTACAAGATGCAGCTAAATAGTAGAGAATACATGTAAAGTGGGAAATTCATCTTCCACGTGGCTTAAATTTGGATCTTGGGTGTGACTTGGGAATGGGGATGAGGCTCCAGTCGCTTGAACTGCTAGGCAGTCACCACACATGAGGAATTTGCGAGTACTGAGTATGATCCGAAGTTTCTTAATGGCAACAACAATAGTAATGATCTACTTCCACTGTTTCAAGCGCGTGGCAACTTCTAGCATACCTGCCGGCCACCACTGGTGCTGGACCAAAGATGTACCCAAGAACCCGGAACCGTATCTGGCAATTAGGCCTTGGAGTGCCACGAACGGAAAATCGCCTACCCACCACTCCTCATTCTCCATCAGGAGCATCAAGACCAGCCAATGGGCGTAGACGTCCAGGGCCAGAACTTCGGCGGTCGTAAGCTCGCGGTCATCATCTGCAGATGCGTTCTCTGGTGTTCGGGGATCGAGAAGGGGAAGAAGCAGGTCGACATAGGTCTGGGGGGCGCCGGAGAAGAAGGCCAAGAACGATCTGGCCAGTGGCTCCGTGTGCGTGGGCCGTGGGCGCCGCAGGATGAAGTTTCGCAGCCAACCAGGCGCCTGCGCTAGGAGACTGTCGGGAGCAACAGAGAACTTTGGCTGGCGTTCCATAGTTAGCAGCCATACTTGTCCCCCCGATGGGGCAGGTAGAATGATAAAGGGGGGAGAAAGAAGCTTACATAGGTCACACATTCCGACGAAATCTCGATACTCTGGGAGTCCGAGAACGTACTGGTCATTACACCGTTCAGGATCTCGTAGGCGTCGAATGTCGAGGCTGTGTTCTCATCCTCTTGAGACGTGGCAAGGGCTCTCTCGATCCTGAATCGGAGGTGCGACAGAGCCTGGTGAAATGTCGCGGCCAGAAAGGGAAACATGGTGTGGGAGCGCTCGGGGATGGTTGTGAAGTCCGGGTAATCCACAACCTGGGATGAAAACATGGTGTCCCATGGCGTTTGGGACTTTGGACTTCTGCTTTCTGCTCGGGTCGAATTTAACGCGACAATGGTTGTTCGTATACCTCTCAGTAACAAGATCGTATCCCGAGGTGTAAGAAGGTTGGTGTCCTGCAATAATCCCTTGGCGAGGAGCACCCGGTGCTGAATGTGTTGAAATGCAAGTGCAAACGGTACCAGCATCAGCGCACTGGCTAGTAAAGGCTGGGTATCCGACTCCTTTGGGTGTGATGTCATGGTCCGCATCTGTTCGAGAGCCAGAGTATGATGCTGCAAGCCAAGGTCTAGGATTTGACGGACTCTTTCGGGGTCGGCGCTTCCGTTGGAGATGGTATCGCGGCACAGACAGGCAGCAGACAGGGCCAGGACAGAGTGCGAAACGAGGTCGCTCTCGAGCGCCAGTTTAGCTATTCCGACCTGTAAGACGAGCCGCTCTTTTTGCCAGCGTGGCGCGGCTTTGCACGTATGGTTGAGAAAATGGAGGTAGAGGTCTGCGTCTGTGACGTTGAGGACGACAGTGTCGTTCCCAGCTGGAGTCAAGACACCGGTAGGCATGAGAGACCCCGAGAACGGCCGTCTGGGCCGTTCTGATTGAGTGCTGCGTGGTCTAGGTGGCGATAGAGTCGAAGATGAAATAGAAGACATTGACGAAACACCCAATTCGCTTGATCCAGAGGAACGCTGCTCTGCTGTATAGACGCACGTTCTCAAGCTCGTCTCGCAGAGCGTACAGGAAGGCCGCTTCTCGTCACACTGCCGCTATTTAGTTGGCATATCCGATATGGCAGTCGGTGATGTCCTCACTCACTTTTTTCCTCCGTTGCTTGCATGTTGTGCAGCCGTTTCGAGATTTTGCATGTGATCTCCTCGACCGGAACCCCGGCGGGAAGGAGTAGGTCGGTGATGACGACGACGATGATGATGAGCCTTGGTCCATGGTCTGTTGGGACGGATTTGTCTGAATGATTGCTGGTAGCTCAAGAAAAGTTGTTGGTATATGTCTCTCCAGTCTTCAACTTCCCGTGTTCTCAGGGGCATCTCACGCCCGCGCGCTTTACTGGGTAATGGAGTCAGACAAGTTCATGAGACTCTGATGCCGGGGTACTCCCTCGAAGGGCGTTAGAACTCAAGGACCCTGACTTTTGTTAATACCCATCGTTCCAGAGCCCATCTTAGTCATCTACAAGGAGGTAGAAGCTGCGCTCAGATGGGACTCTCGCTCTTCTAGATGATTGGCCACAACGATCGGCTGACACACAGTAGCCCCGTTGCGATTGGCCTTGGCAATAGGGCGGACAGCCTTGGCTGAAGTCATCGGGCTTCGGATCCGACGGGGCAGGTTGGGTGGCCTCGTGGCTGAGTATCACTAGCCTCGTTATGGTTAGGTGAGCAAGGCTGAGGCGGGTCCTGGACCCTGCCCCGCCGATTTCGCTAAATGTCAATTTGGAATTTTCTCCAGCTTTAGCTAATAAACCTCTTCTAGTCTGAAGTCAATTCGTAAGCAGCGGACAGGGGGACGCGGGCGGCTTTGATTCAACACCCTTACCGAGTAATCAGCATTCCACTCTAGGAAAAGGGAACGATACGGTGCCAGAGAATGACGGATAGATGCTACCTGGATTGCCTCGGTCGGACCCATCTCGCCCAAGGGACTCAGGCTTCGGTGATATTCCCCATAATCCTACTAGGCAGTTGTCCTTCATCCCTCGACTCCAACGAATTATGTCCGTGTAGGCATGCCGGTACAATCGCGGTAACAGGTGGGCTGATGCTTGAATGGTCTTCTCCGCAAGCAACCAGACTGCTCGCAGACGCCGAGAAGCCAGCGAGGACCCGATGGCGATGAAAGCCGGTATAAGCAGGCACCTGTTAGAGATTGAGAGGATTGTACTTGCGGACTGTCTACAGAAAGGCGAGGCAGGCCATCTATATACATAGAGGTTCAGAGGTAACACAAAAACAAAGGAGGTTGGGCATGTCATTTTCTGACAGCACCCAGCAATGAACAATATGCCACTGGTTACTAAGAGCTCTCGGAAACGACGCGCCAGAGGTCCAGATTGGCCAGATTGGGAAATCCGAATCAATCCATATCACGTTCGATGATGTTGGCTGATAGATTCAATTGTAAGAGCTTTTGTCATCATCTAATTAGGCTTTGGAAGAGAAAGACACCAGGTAGATGACGCCGTTTCGAAAGGAACTTGACAGAACGAACGATCCAACCAAAGTGCTGCTACACATATGACAGCAGATTCCAGTATATTATACCCCATTTCTGTCCAAGAAATCAAACATGACCTGGTAGCCGGCGGTGGCATTGTTGTGGAGCGGGAAGGCATGGCCAGTGTTCGGCTGAATATAGTCCTCCACAACTGCTTTGGGGTAGGTGTTCTTCAAAACCTGCGGGTCGTATGCCCCCTTGCAGTCGCCGTCACAGATATAAAAGTCAAATTCGGCCAGGAAGAATTGGACCGGCGCTTTGAGATCAGGGCCCTGAAGCCCTATGATATGATAAGCGGAGGCGAGCTCCCCAATCGGGACTGGCTGCTTGAGGGAATCGCCGTACTCGAGCATCTCCGGGGTGAAGGCGGTGTCGGTATTGCCGCCGAAGAAGAGATTCTGGATGCCGCTCTTCTGACACACGACGTAGCCACCTGATCGATTGAATGGAGGAGAAGCCGTGGCGGCAAAGTCAACGCCCCATGAAGCCATTCCAGGCGCTCCCAGATATTTGCCGTAAAAGTAGCCAGTGATAATCACTCCATCGGTCAGGGCAGGATACTTGGCAATTAGTGCGGAGGTGAGGAAGGAACCGAAACTGTGGCCAACATGGACGATTTTTTTGGGTGCTGCCAATCCTGTGAATGCTGCATTGGCAGGTTGTCCCTTTCCTGCGATGTTGTACAGGGTGCCATTGCGCGCCATCAAGGTCAGCTGTCGAAGTATCTCTAGCTCGACAGGCGCTTGGACCACGTTGTATGCGTCAGGGTGATCCGATTGACCAGCTCCCAAACGATCATATGTGAGAATTGAATATCCTGCCTTAAGCGATGCCTCAACATAAGACTGATTCTCCCGATCGAGTTCAGGATCCCAATATCTTCCATCATAATGCGCGCCGTGAGTGGCAATCTGGAGGATGTCCTTTTTCATCCCAGAAACATTCGGGACACACAGTTGGGCATGGATATTGAAGGTCTTAGAAGTCGTAGTGTTGTGAACGAGTGTCTTCGGGCCCTGGGGAGTGCTCCAAGTATCCGCATATATTGCCCAGGCTCTGGCTTCGATGTTACTCTCGATCTTTGGGTGATCATAAACGGCTGTGTCGGCAGTAGCAAGCACCGGAATATTCAACTCTTTGCAGAATCCGTGGGTTCTTTGGGAGGCTTTGATAGGCGAAGCTGAGATACCTTGCCAGAAAGCCAACAAGGCTATGACAGTGGTCGCGGCCATTTCTAAATGTGAAAGAATGATATCTGCCAAGATTGTTGGAGACCTAGATCATGGACCAGTTCGGACAACGACAGTCAAGTCAGTGGTTTATATAGTCGTAGTGATAGACAGCACAACTTCTATATCAGGGTTTTGGGCTATGACGTCCCAGGAGATGACAGCGACATGCTTGGTGCGGTAGGCCGTGTTCGCAATGACTGTCATGGGGACTTTTGACTCGTGTTGATTGCAATATCGGACTATAGCGCAGTCCCTTGCGTGCCATGGCAGCTACGTTGACGTTCTTGGTCTTGACACCAAAGCGAGAAAGGATAGAAGCAAGGGCAACAACCGGAGTTCTCATCTGAAGAGGAAGGGTTAACTCGTTCCGTCGTATTCTTCTGGAACCGCCCCCAGTTGAATGTAGTTAAGCCAATTCTCCGCCAATGGCGAGATCTCCAAGGTTGCGTAGCCCCTAACGACGAATCAGTCGTTAGAAAAGTCTTGTTGAGTATCATTCCGACAATTTAGACGGTGCCGCAGTTGGGCGGACACAACTATATTGACCAGGGGCGTATTCGCTAACCGGGGGCGTATTTGTGGAGTATGGACCCACAGGTTATGACAGTTCCAAGCGCAGGGACTAGCAACCATTCTCCCTGACGACTGTCATTCGAAAGTCATTTCAAGGTTTGAAAACGCCACGATTGCCGAGATGAAAGTTTGCTCGCGCGAACCACCGTTATGAAGGCTACACCTTGGCACCCTCATTCTCTGCATACAGTGCCAAGTAGATCAAATGCGATATTCATTTGGAGAATTCCAAGGGTAAGGCTGGACTTAAGTTTTTCGCGGTATTCCTCGGCATGATATGGAGACTGAAAGACGGCGGTGTTTTGACGTTGCATCGCAAACGCCTTTGGCTCAATGACGGCCTTGACGTGTTTCATAAACTTGATTTCAGCCTTGGGCTTTTGACTAGCGTTTCTTGTACAGAGAAGATCTAGCATGCGGGCAGTGCGCATGGCGAGGCGAGTACGAAGCAAAAGAAGGCAAACGCGAAGGCTGAGAGTGGAAGATAAATACCCCGGCGGACGATGCTGATGCACGAAAGTCAAATCACCCGGGAACAAGGCCATCACAGCCCGCGCTATTCAACAATCTCCACCGGGCATTGCTGGAACTCGGCTTCTCAACACCCAGAAGTTTGTTGACTCTGCGTAAGAAGTGCAGATGGATAACTCTAGGATATAGCTATAAAGCATCCGATCTGGCCTCGACATTCGGCATTTACACTACCATCATCGTCCACAAAAAGCCTCAATTTCAGAGCCTCAGGTCGAGCCTTCAAGCCCATTCTTCATTCTCGCACTGAAAAACAGAACATCCTCAAACACATATCACCATCTCAGCTCATCCACAAATCTTGCAAGTCTTTCAAGGGTTCGCTACCTCGCCCCGATGGTTTTTCTCGTTCTCGCTACTGGCGCAGCCATCTACTTCACCGTCGAAAAGGTTCGCGACCACAAGAAAAAGAAGCGAGCCTTGAGAGCTCAAGAAGCTTCACGACACGGCTTGGTCGAAACCGTATCAAACATTGACGAAAACACAGCCCGCCGCTCAATGGAAGACCTCCCACCGTACATTTTGAGAGAACCTCCACCATACCAGATAAGGGACCAACATCGCGAGTTGAAGGAAAACAAGTAGCCGATTTTAGGACTGCTTTCGCGGATGCTTAACTTCAAGCGAGGCAAATGGAGTCGTGCGGGGATTAGAGACTGGCCGATTTCCTAGTCTTTTAGCAGCGTATTATGATGGGTATGGCAGTTTCTGCGAGGAATTTCACCTCATGGTTTTGCTAGCAAGTTTGTATAATACGAAGGACTCGTCTACGTTTCTGCTGCCCTCTTACCAATACCCCTTGTGTTAGTGTTAGAGCAATTTATCCCAGGTCATCAAAAAGCGTTGACCCACTATTGATAGCTGTCCATTTGGGAACAGTTGGGTCCAAGGAACATGTCGCTGGACAGGGAGTAAGATATCTCCATTGAAGGTGGACTGGAAAAGGGTGGTTGATTCCCCAGCGAATCTGACTGCAAAGCGAGATGTTCACATTCCGCCAGAGCATTAGTAGGGAAGACAGCTGCAGACAGTCGACGACTGCCTCATTGACGTCAACCCTGTGGTCTTGCCACCGGTCACTAGTATGGTGGTATCGGAAGGACATTCGCTGCTGCAAAGAGCGGCACACTTTGCGCCAAATCAAAGAATGGAGGAGCGGGAATAAAATTTGCGGGCACTAGTTTCTTCAAAAATTGCCCTAAACAAGGCTTTTAATTGTCATGAAAGAGCCCCGCTCGCCCCCACCTTGCCCAATATAGATTCTAATACGGAATGTCTCCCGAATACGCATCCGAATCTGCGTATCTGCCCATCCGCCCATACGCCTCTCTGCCACTAACTTCCCTGATATGTTTCTGCTCACTGGCTCGAAAAGCAACCATCATGGCTGTGCCGATATAATATTCTAACTCGCGATGAGGGAGATTGGAGGCACTCCTATAGACAACAATTTAAGTATTTCAGATACCTCCCCTGCCCTGGGTCCGCCACAGAAGGCCAGTGTCTCTGCTGCGCCTCGGCGCGTGGTACCCAAACTTCACCTGAATGCAATCCGACCTCACGCGCATACGCAATTTCCTTGACTCCTTGGTTCATTTGCGGAGCAACTGAGCGGACCTCTGCAGTCATGACGCGGCGAGTCGAACGGGACACACGGTGTTTAGCCCCTTTACATCAACTGCTGAAACCACTTGCAATTCGATATTAAGACCCTTGATCCATGAATAAGGCATCGAAGCATGATGACATCGCTGGTTTCCGTCGCTGGCATTTCAGGATTCTCCAATTTAAAGATTGCATCTTCAACGTCTGCTGTCTCTAGTTACCGATCATCCAATATTCAGACATCAAGCTCAGCTCCTGTTCTTCAACGCGTTCTCCAATAGTTTCAACATACTCTGCAACATACCTAGGTATCCTCTCAAAACTGAGTCAAAATCGCCTCCATCATGACGGGAAGTCTCAAGAAAGAGTGTAACAAGGCAGCTCAAATTCTCAAGGGCTTCATCGGTATGTGTATCTCAGGAAGAGCGGAATGGCGAGGGTGTTCAGGGCTGACATAACAACAGACAAAGGTAGAATCCCCGTAGAGGTCATCGCGAATGCAAAGGGTCTAGCCATATTTTCGGGCTTCCGGGCCGCCATGTACCTTGCGGGTGCGGGTGGTTCTGGGGTTGTCGTTGCACGTCTCCCTGATGGATCCTGGTCTCCTCCGTCTGCATTTTCGGTCCGATCGGGCGGATTTGGTGTCGTGTACGGCGTGGACATGTACGATTGCGTGTGTGTGCTCAACACACAAGAAGCCATTGACGCCTACATGAACAGCGAAATGACCCTGGGCGCAGGCGCTTCAATGGCGGCTGGGCCCATGGGCGGCACCGCCGACATCAGCACGAAAGATGTCAAACCGATCTGGACATACACCAAATCGCGCGGAATCTATGGTGGCTTGACAGTGGATGGCACCATCATCAAGGAGAAAGCCGCTATCAATGCCGAGTCGTACGGGTCGAATATTAGCGCAGCGCAGATCTTGAAAGGCGAGGTACAGTGGCCATCGACGACGCTACTTCCTGAGGTCCTCAAACTAGCTGAAGGGAAGAAGGCGGATGCAAAATCCCTCGGCGCCATTAGCACTGAGCCGACGCCTGGCGATTTGAAGGAGTAATGCGCGTGGTCTATTCGTGTTTACGTTGATTGCGGCTGTAACTGAGAGTGTCGATCGCGAAATGGGCCTTGGGATAAACGTGCGATGGGTTGGGAGGCAGGATAGCAGGCATTGTGTCTATCCCGGAACACTGGCCAATTGAACCCTGTGGATCAATTTGATAGAGCACTGGCAGAAGTAATTCGTATCTCTATCCACAGTATTTCAATCTGGACGATCTCTCTGTCCGACATGACACGAGCCAGTCGAGCAGGATGTTTGCCGATATTAACACCATTGAATGGATGGCCATCAAGCTGGAGGCTGCTCTTCTCTGACACTACCCTCTGGATTGATTCTGGCCGCGTCCACTGTCTCGTCGTCGAGGCCAGCGTTCTTTCTTGTCCCTTGATTTCCCTTGCCTTCTAGAGGCTCAATCTTGGTTCCCTGGATCGTCTCATCTCTCCCGACCGAGACTTGAGAGTCGGCATGAGGTGCTGTGTGCTGGTATTGGCCTGGAGGATACCATCCAAATCTCTTGTGTCAGTGTACTGCAACGTGTTTTCTCCAAGTTTCTTCCCTCAACCATATTCGGGGGGAAATGCTCTGAAGGGCGTGCGTGCACGTACCGGCGCCACCCAGGGGATCAATCCGACTCTGATTGATGCTTCGATTTGTGGCCAGCTGCACCGCCAGAGCTCTGGTCGTGAGGTAGATTCGCTTTAACCTCCGAGTCCAAGGGCTGGATCTTGGTTGCGGAGATCTTCTCGTCGCTGCCGGATGTGCCTCTGCAGATGATGAAGACGCTAGTCACGCAGTTTGGACGATGTACTGTGTCATGGGTGAAGTCAAGGTGTCAGTGTGTCAGACTGAGAAACGTACGAGGACATTGTGACCGAGATGTTTTTCAAGTAGCTGCTTTGAGGATGTCAATAGTGGATTATTCTGAGACAGAAAAGAGAGAGCAGGAGAGGGGAATTCGAAAAAATCACAGCTGCATATTTCTGTGGGATCTAAGACCCTCATTGCGCGACTCGTTTTCTTCTTGCAGGTATGCCATCATCGGGTCCCTTTGGTGGTGCATGTTGTATTAACATGACTTCATAGCAACTACTTCATAGGGGATCGAGCTTGATACCGACCCCGCCAATCACGGTACGAGATGCGGCTACGGAGGCGGAGCCTTGCGGGTGGAGTGCTACCTTCCCCACATTTAATGTCCGGACCGGTCGGGATTGAGAAGGGGGACAAGAGGAAGCGGGAATCTGGAGCATGGTTAGCAGGTTGCTGGCCTCTCGCTCATTTGTGTTGCTGGTAGGTACAACAATCACATTATGACGGCTCTTCTTCGTCCATGTAAGTAGCGGTCACAGTAAAGGTTACGGGTCAAGGGACTTATCTATATATCACGCCCGTAAATGACTGCAGATCCAACTGACGCCCAGAAGCTCCTATGGGTACCCATGCTCTGCAAATTTGCCGGTGGCTGATAGTCTGGCTACCTTGCCATTCTTCCCCTGTCTGCGGATGTTTTGATCTGAGCCCGTCTTCGACAAAGGAGAAGTGCAGGCAAAACCTAGGCGCTGTGAACGGAAATTAACCCCCTCCTGTCCCTCAAATTGGAAACAGGAAAAGCTGTCCCCTTCGCCATGTCGTGTTATATCAGACACAGCGATCTCTTCCGCAAACTAGGCTGTGCTAAAAGCGGAGGTGTCCTTTTGCAGGCGTGAAATTGGATACCATACTCCGTACCTGCATGACACTAGCTGTTCCGCATTCCTGCAGGAAAGGCTTAGTTCGCGAGAATTGCAGATCTGCGTTTCGGTACGGCGGCAGTAGTGTACGGTAGAGATCTGGATTGGGGGGCGATATTGGGGCCACTTCGCTCCATGTATGATCATTTTCCTCTTTCCAAATTCTCTACTTGTGCCCATCCTGACTCGTATATCTTGTATTACTGTAAGTTACTTCTCAGGTACTGTCCTCGATGGGTCCCTACTGTCCTCGATGGGTCCCTACTGTCCTCGATGGGTCCCTACTGTCCTCGATGGGTCCCT